TATGAAGTAATATGTAAACCAATCAATTGTGAGATATTAGTACTTAGGGCATCCTAATGATTATACTTTACCCATTCAGCACCAGTATCGTGTTAGGCGTTAACCTCTTTTCCTGCATAAACCACATAATCTACCTCAGTATTGTGGGTATTGATAACATTTATTTCAGTTAATTAATTCATTTTTTTTTTTTCTGTCTCCTCCAGCTTTGCAACAAATTATAGCCAGAGGATTTTCCTACATAAACAAGTCTTTTAATTACATCTACTTACTCAATTTAACCCCTCAGAGCTTGAGTATTTTCAAACAGGATTTCCTTGTAGACCTGTGGCTACTGTTGAGGTGGATTGATTTAAATGTGTAGTGCTTCTCCCTTCTAATACTATATCACGTTCACTTGAATTTGATATCTTGTTGGTTTTGATACATACCAATCTGGGATATAGCTAAAATTTCATTTTAGTAACTCACACTGTTTCCATTTGTTATTACAATTGACACTGAGCTATGTAGGTTTTCCCTCCTTTTTAATTGATTGTGATTATCACTTTTCACTTGCTGTTGCACTTATTTTGTATATCAATTTATAATAAAGTTTATTACCAATAAGATGATCTTTTAATCTAGAGGTAATTCTGGTGGGGTACAGCACCTCCCTTTTTCTGGTGAGCTTTCTGACCTCATTAGTTGTATTCTTTCTCAGTTTGAAATATATTTTGCTTATTACCTAGATGAGAATGAATATTGTATCCGCCTACAGCTATGAACGGGCTGATCTCATGCCCCTTAATCACTGGGACTCTGGGAGTGGCTAAAGAAAAAAAAGAGGTGTTTCATATCCTCAATGCTTCCTGCCCATATAATGTTCACTAACGGATTGGATACGCTCATCTGGAGGTGTAACCACATACAGCCTTATATTCATATCCCTAACTAGATGCCGATAGCTCTTGATAAAGGCGTGTATCTTCACTGAAATGCGCATCGGGCGTTTCTCTTGCCGATGTTCTTTAATTGATTTTAAGTTCTGGGAGAGTTAGTCTGGAAAAAGGTTGTCTGTTTGATGTGGAGTGGGTACTAACTAACTAGGCAAGATGCCTCGAAGCAGCAATAGGAGATAGGGCATCTGAGATCACTAAAGCATGTGAAATTGACAGTGAGCCATCGTGGGATTGGATATCAGAATCAAGAGAGTCTCTGTATCTTCGGCAAATTGGAGGTTTAGCTGATTTTGTACTGAAGGGGTTGATACCCTCTGCCTTTTCTCACTTGACAGCTGCATGATGCAGCAAGCCTGAAGGTTACCTGTGTTCAGCCTTTTCTCGCTTGACATCTGCATGATACAACAAGCCTGAAGGTTACTTGTGTTCAGCTATACACTAGCCCTCCAGGTGGAATAGACATAAACACACCGTTTTCAGATAGACCCCTTATTGAGAACCCTCTCTATTCTGTTAGGAGCCTGGTTTATAACTTCCACATTACAGTGAACCACTTACTCAATATGGTTTGAAAGGAATGGGCACCAATATTTGTAATTTGCTTGTTTTGTATAAAGTCCACTTAGCAACACTATCTAATTAGGACATTTATGTATCCATTAGTGTGCTGAGGTTAACTTACTTTGTCTTACTAGAGGTAAGGCATTAATTTACTGCAAACATGTTATAATCAACATCACCTGCTACTGTTGATGTGCCCCTCTTATTACAGCCCGTGTATCCGCCCCTCTTATTACAGCCCGTGTATCCCCTAGACAAGGTTCAATTATATACAACCTCTGTACACTGTAGCCACTAATTCCTTAAATACTGGTACTGTGGAGGTATCTATCTACTTGATAACTCAATTTTGGAGGATTTCTATAGCAGTTACATAATCCTTCTATTATTTAAGTGGCCTTTTGGGACAACTCCATCCAGATTTTAAAGGTGTATTATCACTTTGTTTGTTCACTATTGTGTCACTTATGTTTGGTTTACACATATAATTTATTATTATTTTTTATATTTAAATATTCAGCTTAACCCCTTAAGGACACATGACATGTGTGACATGTCATAATTCCCTTTTATTCCAGAAGTTTGGTCTTTAAGGGGTTAATAAAGGTTTATAGCACCTGTACAAATCTTTACTCTAAAAGGTACCTTTTGGTGGAGTGGGATTCCCCACATTTTATGTGAGCGGTTTTCCCATGCCACTTTATTTTTCGTTTTGTTAAGTACATTGGTTTTGCCTACATTTGTAACTGATGAAGATGATATTTTATGACCAATTCATGCAGACTGCAGCTAATTCCTAATATTTTACATACTTTTTTGTCACTACTAGAGTTGAGCGGACACCTGGATGTTCAGGTCTGGAGGGTTCGGCCAAATTTGAAAAAAAGTCCTGGTTCGGGATCGATCTTGACCCCGAATCCGAACCCCATTGAAGTCAATGGGAACCCGAACTTCTGGGCACACAAATGCCTCTAAAAAAGTCCTGGAAAGGGCTGCAAAAGGAAGTTCTTTCATTGTTCAAACTGAGCTCAACTCCTGATGTATGGAGAAAAGGCCTTCACAAGCCTCTGCTATTGTGTACATAGTTTATACTAGGTGACACATAGGTTGAGGAGGTGGTGACCGTGGCGGTGTAGGTGGAAGCGGCGGTGGAGGAGGAGGAGGTGGCCAACACTGTTTTTTATTTATTTATTTTTTTTTTAATTGGGGTAGCCCCCAAAATATTGGGACATATAAAAAAAGAAACATTTGCGGCCTGCGGTGCATTTGTTGCAGTCCAATAACGCCATCAAGTTTTTAAAACTGTCTGTCTCCACCAGACTGAATGACAGCATTTCAAAGGCCACAAATTTTGAAATGCTGGCATTCAGGGCCATGTATTGCGGGTGGCTAGGGGGGTACTTCCTCCTTCTCTCCAGTGTTTGGGAGCTGAACGCTTCCATGGGACAATGTGGAGATGCTGGACAATTGTGTACCTGGCCTATGCTGGTGCAGGAACCCACCCTCCGAGCCACTTGTGAATGACTGGCCTGATGACCATGGAAATGACCCCTCATCCTCCTCCTCTTCCTCCTGTACCACATCCTCTTCCATCATCGCCCGAAGCGTTTTTTTAAGGACACATAGAAGCGGGATAGTAAGGCTGAGAACAGCATCATCGGCACTTGCCATGTTGGTGGAGTACTCGAAACAGAGCAACATGGCACACAGGTCTCGCATGGAGGTCCACTCATTGGTGGTGAAGTGGTGCTGTTCCGCAGAGCGACTGACCCGTGCGTGCTGCAGCTGAAACTCCACTATCGCCTGCTGCTGCTCGCACAGTCTCTCCAGCTTGTGCAAGGTGGAGTTCCACCTTGTGGGCATGTTGCATATGACGTAGTGAGCGGGAAGGCCTAAGTTATGCTGCAGCGCAGACAGGCGAGCAGCAGCAGGGTGAGAACGCCGAAAGCGTGCACAGACGGCACGCACTTTCTGCAGCAGCTCTGATATATATGGGTAGTTTTTCAGGAATTTCTGCACCACCAAATTCAGCAAATGCACCAGGCAAGGAATGTGCGTCAAACCAGCTAGGCCCAGAGCTGCCACGAGATTTCGCCCATTATCGCACACCACTAGGCCGGGCTTGAGGCTCAGTGGCAACAGCCACTCATTGGTCTGTTGTTTCATGCCCATCCACAGCTTCTGCGCAGTGTGGGGTTCTCCCCCCAAACATATGATGTCATTTCCCCCTGGCTGTGCTGAAGTTGGTGATGAAGGTGTTACGCTGACTGGATGGAGGTGGTAGATGAGAAGGAAGCGGAGTAGGAGGAGGAGGCAACAGGAGGCAAAGCTGTGTACCCAAATAAAGATTGTCAAACGTTGTATCCTGGAACTGTGTCCCATCCGGTTACTGGGGAAATGGATCTGACCTATTCTAATCAAAAGGGATTACCATCGGTTACCCAGGTCCCGCTTCATTAGGTGGCAAGTGGCGGGATCCCATGTCCCTGCCAACAAACCCATGGACTACAGTGCTCTAAAGCGACCTACACTGCAGGACTTGTGTGGAGCCAGAGGAATAACGCTTGGTGGGCGTAACAAGGCCGAATTGACTGCTGTGCTCATGGAGGATGACCAGGCACGCAGTGAGGCAATGAACCCAGCCAGGGGCCGGAAATGAGGAGGAAGTGCGCAAGGAGGTGGAACAGCATATTACCGAAAGCCACCCTCAAAGGAGATTGTCAGCAGGACCTTTTTGGAGGTGCAAGCCTATGTTCTTGCCAATAGACAGTGGGCGACCTCCATGAACCCAGATGAAGGAAGAAGGGAGCAGAGGGCACCGGGAAGCACAACCACCCTGGCCCACAACCTATCATACAATGCCTTCAAAGAGTTCAAGGAAGCAGAAGAAGGCATCATTTACTTTTTACAAGACTTTGAGGGCAGGTGCCTACTCCAAGACGTGGACCCCAGCGACTGGGTCACCATACTGGCCAGCAAACTAGTGAGGAAGGCAGCTGATATTTACTGGGCTGTACCAGAAGAGCAGATCAGAGATTATCCCTTTATTACACAAATCCTCCTGGCCCAGTATGTGTTCACCCCCAAGCAATACTGCCGAAAGTTTAGGGAGACCCGGAAAGGGGAGAAGTACTCCCATACGGAGTGGGCATGCCGCATCACAAGGGCCATCCAGAACTGGCTCAACTCCCATCAAGCCAAGTTCCCGGAGGAGATCACCCAGCTCGTCATGCTAAAGCATTTTTTCAATGGGCTCCCCAACGACACGGCTGGTGAGAGGCCGCCAGCCCAGACCCAAGAAGTATTGGTAAGAGCTGCTGAAACTAGCTCATGATATCCCCTTGGCAGGGCATTTTGGCAGGAGCCAGACAGCTTCTCGGTTCACCCACAGCTTCTTCTGGCCAGGCATCTCTCAGGATCTGAGGAAGTACTGCCAGATGTCTGCCAGAGAGTGGGGAAGAGAAGGGACCGGCACAGGGCATCCCTCTATCCCCTACCTATTAGTGAAGATCCGTTCGGCAGAGTAGCTGTCAATATTACAGTTGCGCAGGCACTTTGGTGACTCTAGAGAACCTCGGGCCGTGACGACGACTTTGCATTCGGATGTCTGCCCTATCAACTTTCGATGCCACTTTCTGCGCCTACCATGGTGACCACAGGTAATGGGGAATCAGGGTTCGATTCCGGAGAGGCAGCCTGAGAAACGGCTACCAAATCCAAGGCGCGCAAATTACCCACTCCCAACACGGGGAGGTAGTGATTACAAATAACAATACAGGACTCTTTAGAGGCCCTGTAATTGTAATGAGTCCACTTGAAATCCTTTAACTATGATCAATTGGAGGGCAAGTCTGGTGCAGAGCGACTGACCCGTGCGTGCTGCAGCTGAAACTCCACTAGCGCCTGCTGCTGCTCACACAGTCTCTCCAGAATGTTCAAGGTGGAGTTCCACCTTGTGGGCACGTCGCATATGAGGCGGTGAGCCGGAAGGCCAAAGTTACGCTGCAGCGCAGACAGGCGAGCAGCAGCATTGTGAGAATGCCGAAAGCGCGCACAGCCGCTACAGTAATTGTCACATCCTGTTCCAAGTTGCGGATCAGTCTGGTGATGGCTTTTGGTATCCAGTACTCTTTTTACTAAAGCTGCATCAGGGTCCTGGTATGTGGCCGCACAAACGCTGGTGCTCAACACCAGGGGGCGTGCGGTTACCCTGCACCAGACCCTGCTAATCCATTCCACACTGTGACTCCTAACTTCAACATCAGGCATACTATGTCCCGGTCGTCCGATCGCCGCTCAGACAGTGTCACCAGACTGGGAAACTGCGATTGGCTCGTTAAATCTGTTATGGTTCCTTTTATTGCTCCATCTGTTACTTGGATAACTGTGGGACTTCTAAAGATCATACATGCCGACAAGTGCTAGGGGACGGCTGCTCCGCTTTTGCACCCTGCTCCCTCTTATGCTGTGCTGGTGCCTCTGTGCGACCAGCGCCTCTTCTTTCAAACTGCACACGTCACTCGCATGACCTTGATTCCATGTTGGGTCTAGGACCTCATCATCCTCCACATCATCTTCTCAACCCTGCCCTCCTTGACGGTCTGCACACTGCACACTGCAGAAAGCCACAACAGTTGGCACCTGTGTTCTTCCAGCATGTGAACTCTGCAAAGGATATATGGAAATTGTTTTAGAATTGTATCCAGGCAACAGTTTTTCCCATAAACTGACCTCTCAGTTTGACTTGTGAGGGTATTGCCCCCGAATTACAATATTGTTATATTGGTATTTGACGGTTCTATTTGACTGTCAGATATGAAGTGCAGGCCGCAAATGTACTATTTAGCACCCAAAAAAATTTGAATTGGTCAAACCGCGAGGTAACCACAGTATTTGAAGGTTCTATTTGACTCTCAGATATGAAGTGCACACCCCAAATTTACTTATCACCCAAAACAATTTGAATTTTTCAAAGTGCACTGAAAGCACAGTATTTGACGGTTCTATTTGACTCTCAGATATGAAGTGCACCGCTGGATGCAAATGTACTATTTGGTCAAACTGCGCTGTAACCACAGTATTTGACAGTTTTATTTGACTGTCAGATATGAAGTGCAGGTCGCAAATGTACTATTTAGCACCCAAAACAATTAGAATTATTCAAAGTGGGCAGAAAGCACTGTATTTGACGGTTCTATTTGACTCTAAGATATGAAGTGCACACCCCAAATGTACTTTTTTTCACCCAAAACAATTAGAATTTTTCAAAGTGCGCTGAAAGCACTGTATTTGACGGTTCTATTTGACTCTCAGATATGAAGTGCACCGCAAGCCGCAAATGTACTATTTAGCAGACAAAAAAAATTGAATGTTTAAAAATGCTATGTCACAGCACTATTTGATGGTTCTATTTGACTCTCAGATATGAAGTGCAGGGCCCAAATTTACTATTTAGCAGATTAGCACCCCGAAAATAAGAATAATACAAAATAAACAAGAGGTGAGAGCACACAATACACAGAAAATACTACCCACACTGGAATCAGGTTATCTGGAAAAGACCAAATAAACAAAACATAGAGTAGTATATCTTGATATAATATTTTAGCAAAAGGTGCCAATCACACTCACATAAATAGAGCCACTTATATAGCTGGCTCAAACTTGGTGCCTTGGATATGTAACACAGGACCTCCACTGGGAACTTCTTTCTTTCATTCAATGCAGAACTCTCCAAAACGCAGAATATGGAGTAAAAAATACTTTATTCTTCAAATAAGCTGAATTAAAACAAAGATAAACAAAAGTCCCAAACAGGAAAGTCCAATCACTTGACGCGTTTCGGCTGTCCGCCTTCCTCCGAAGTGATGTCCATATCCAAGGCATCTGGATTATCTGGCGCCAAAATTCAAGCAATTTTTACTGCAAAAAATATTTGTAATCAGCGATGTCTCACAAGTACAACAGTACCCCCCATTACCAGGTTTTATGGTGTTTTGTAAAGTTACAGGGTCAAATATAGAACGGTCCATTTTCACATTGAAATTTGCCAGACTAGTAATGTTACCTTTGAGACGGTGTGGTAGCCCAGGAATGAGAATTACCCCCATAATGGCATACCATTTGAAAAAGTAGACAACCCAAGGTATTGAACGTGGGGTATGTTTAGTCTTTTTTAGTAGCCATTTAGTCACAAACACTGGCCAAAGTTAGCGTTCATATTTATTTTTTTTGTAAAAAAAGCAAAAAACTAATATTTGGCCAGTGTTTGTGACTAAGTGGCTACTAAAAATGACTGGACATACCCCATTTGCAATACCTTGGGTTGCCTACTTTTGCAAATGCTATGCCATCATGGGGGTAATTTTTATTCCTGGGCTACCATACGGTCTCAAAGGCAACATAACCAATCTGGCAAATTTCAATGTCAAAAAAATGAAATGCAAGCCTTATATGTGACTCTCTAACTTTCCAAAACACCATAAAACCAGTACATGGGGGGTACTGTTATTCTCGGGAGACTTCACTAAACACATATTAGTGTTTTAAAACAGTAAAACATATTACAACAATAATATAGTCCATAAACATGACGTTCGTTTCTAAAAAATGCAAAAAAAGTCACTTACTTAAAATATCATCGTTGTAATACAATTTACCAGTTTTAAACACTAATATTTGAATTCAGCGAAGTCTCCCGAGTAAAACTCTTGGAGAGTTACTGGGTCAAATATAGTGCTTGCGAATTAAATTCTCTGCACTTTCTCCCTGTGTTGTAAGGCATGTCAATCAAATTTTAATTAATCAAATCACATAATTATGTTAAAAGATTACTTAAATATACACGTAGAATTTTAATATATATGCATCTATAGGTATTTAAATTCTACGTGTATACTAATGTAATCTTTTATGTAATTATATGTATTTATCTATATATATTTAATTGCTATTTGTATTTTATATATAGATTGTCATTCTAAGTGTATTTTGTTACCAATATATATATATTAATAACAAAATACAGTTAGAATGAAATTACATATGAATATATAATTTATATTAAATTTTGTTTCAATATTTTATTTATTTTATTTAATTTATTTATTATTGTAATTATACGTGTGTGTGTGTGTGTGTGTGTGTATGTGTGTATGTATGTATGTATATATATATATATATATATATATATACATATTATATATGTAACGTCATTCTAAGTGTATTTTAATATTAATATATACTTATATCAATATTAAAATACATTACGTATGACGTTACATATATATATATACATATATATATATAATATGTATATATATTATATATATATAATATATACACATGTATTATATATATAAAAATATTTTGAATTTATTTTTACACATGTTTAATTTTTTTTTACTACTTCCCACCAGCAGGGGGACTGTCTGACATTTCAGACAGCCCCCCTGCTGGCAGATCCACAGCCAGCTAAAGGGGGCCATGTGATCGCTCTTTGAGGGCAATCACATGGCCCCCGGGGGCCTCACTTGCCAGAGGAGGGCTGCATGGGCTGTGGTGAGTACAGCCGAGATCCTGGGGGCTTAAGCCGTTACGGCGATAAAGGGTTAAAACTGCAATGTGACAGCAGTATTTTACACTTCTATTTGTATGAAGAACACGCCCCAAATTTACTATTTAGCAGATTAGCACCAAAACAATTAGAATTTTTACAACTGCGCTGTAACCACAGTATTTGACGCTTCTATTTGACTCTCAGATATGAAGTGCAGGGTCCAAATTTACTATTTAGCAGATTAGCACCCAGAAAATAAGAATGTTTACAATTGCGCTGTAACCGCACTATTTGACGATTTTATTTGACTCTCAGATATGAAGAGCACGCCCCAAATTTACTATTTAGCAGTTTAGCACCAAAACAATTAGAATTTTTACACCTGCGCTGTAATCACAGTATTTGATGCTTCTATTTGACTCTCAGATATGAAGTGCACCCCACTAATGTACTAGTTTGCAGGATTCTTTCCTAATCTGTCCCTGAAAGCGGCAGCATCCTGTCCCTAGACTAAAAAGGGCTCATGTGACATGCAGCGCTATGTGACTCCAGCTTATATATAGAGGCTGGGTCACATGCGGCACTGGCCAATCACAGCCATGCCATTAGTAGGCATGGCTGTAATGTCTTCTAAGGGCACACGAGTAAAACGCTTGTTGATTGGCTGCCCTGCAGCCTTTTAAAACGCGTCATTAAATCGCCGAACACCGAACTCCAGCCCAAACATACACTGATATGTCCGTGTTCGGGTCCGGGGTCCAAAAAACATAATGTTCGGTACGAACCTGAACTTTACAGTCTGGGGTCGCTCAACTCTAGTCACTACATATGAATTTGCTCCTATATCACCAACACCCCACACACAATACAGGTCACCATACACACTGCCCCCTACTAGATCCACCACAGACACACATACTGCACCACCCACACACACTCCATTCTGGATCCTATTGCAAGAGCTCTTCAGCAGGGCTCTGCACATTGGCTGCCCCAAAGCAATATTTCAGCCCACAACAGGGCCTTTGTCAAGCATCTGCTTCAATAAATCTGCTCACTGGATTCAACTTGAGTTTTTATCCGTATTTAACTTGAGTGCCTGAACCATCATTACTTATCTGCAAATCGAATTGTGAGGATTGGCCAACCTCAGGCTCAGTTGCACCATGGGATCCAGGAGAGTGCGGTATCCATTTTGGTAATTA